ATAGTTTAAAACCTATTTCAGTTCACGAAAAAAAATTTTCCTAATTTAACTTTTCTACCATAACATTTAAATTTAATTGTTAGGATGTCACTTCGGATCTGCTTTTAATCTTCAGCGAGATTATAAATTCGTTCTTGTGTTGTCACTCTTCTCAAGTTCCTTACCTGACAGTCAACTTCTTATTCTGCTTTTCTGATTTTGTTTGGGTATTCGTTCAGATGGTTTTCTTTTTCCGCTGAAAATACTTTTCAAGCGTTAGTCTATTATGCTTCAGGTGTTGGAATCTGGTGTTAGTTGTAGCTTTAGAGCACGTTTTTGACTGTACTAATTCCAGAGAGCACTTTAAAATACGGTTGTTCCTTAACATCAGATCTTTACATTCGACTTCAGCTAACTCTTCTGTTTCCTTACCTCAAGATTCTGTCTGTCCTTTAGTATTTAACCACTGCAACAGTGCGTCGAGTTAGATGAAAACACTGCACAGGTCTAAGGTTTTAACATATAAAATTTTTCAATAAAAAATTTTTAATTAGTCAGAAAGAGTAGATAAACATTTTCAGAATATTATCCTAGAAAAGTGCGGAAAAGAAACAAAAGAAAATGGAACTATCTGTGAGAAAAAAGCTCCCTTATGAAGCAGCAAAAACTGCTTGTGAGTTAAATGATGCCTGAAAATTTTTTTGATTGCAAACGAAAAACGAATACATAAACCAACAAAAACTCTTATTGTCTCAATAGCTTATAAAGAAAGACTAACCTTATAAGTCATTTCTCTTTAAGTTTTACATTTTACATGACAACGTTTCCTTGCTTTCCCGTTCATTTTTCGCATTTCAGCTTTAAAGAAAAAAACGAAAGAAAAGAACAAGAAAAATAAAATTGCTGATAAGGCATTCAATTCAAGTAGACACGCTATACATACTTTTGTACTTTGTCGGCGAATACAGATCATGCTGACGGAAGCATAACCTTTATTTTTTTAGAGCAGTCCTGATACCTGACACAATTTTCATTGTGGCAGACGTAACCCGCCTTACAGTGGGATCCGCCTGACTTGCGGACTGAGTCATACATACGATTTGCAGCAGTCGAGATACCGGTTCAAGTATAGACTTTGTTTGGTTTACACTCAATGTTGTCTTAGAGAAAAAACTTATTTGGGACGAAAACTGTCAAGAAATTAGTTGTTCTAATGAAATATGCTCTTATAAAAAATGTAAAAAAAGTGCAAAATGTGCATCAGTATACTTTGCTCTGTCAAGAAATTGAGATCTTTGACGGTAATATACAAAGCAAAGGTTAGTAAGTAAAAGTTGTAATCTCTTTTTTTTTAGTTACTGATAGTGTAAAGTAACCATGCTGCAAAAAACTGGGGCTTGGTAACCCTTGCGAAAGACAAAAAACGATGCCAGCATATAAAATACGCGGAAAACTACTGTGACAAGTATCTGGAAAAGGACAAGATAAATATGGCTTTAAGTGTTCTGAAGTTTACGTTGCTACAGCCACTTTCAGAAATAAAAATCGATTGAGTAAAGCTCAAAAAGAAAAAACTTTTACTGAACAAAGAAGTCGCAAAATGAAAAAACAAAAAAATAATGCTCACTGCACATAAGCGACAAGTCACTATGTGTCTCCACAACTTTTGCTGTTTTCAGCCTGATACTATCTGAACAATTTTGAATAAAAAAATTGAAAAAAAGGAACGTTGAAGCTTCCCGAATTGAATTTTTACATTATTTCACCTAATTAGGTGCCCAACTTTAGTCAGTTATTTCTGATAAGCTGCTACATTCTTACTGTAAATGGAATTTTCTGCTTACATTTTTCTCAAAGAATGCTTGAATGAAAGCTTGAAAATAAGTAAATAAATGAAACAAAAAAAGTCGTCTAATTTATACGCATATATATATATTCGTTTTATATATATTCGTTTTTGTGTACTGGTTGTAATTTTTTGGCCATTCTGGCTTTCTGAACTTATTTCAAAACAGAATAGAAAGTTAAAAAGAAAATAAGAAAGAAAAACCCTAGTTTAGAACTGAAAAGATAATTCTTAACTCAGTTCCTTGTTATATAATAATAATTATAAAAAAAAGCAGCAATATTTTAAATAGACGAAAACGACAAGCGATTGATAAAACCGATATTTTGCAGAAAAATAAACTTCTTCTCTCAGTCGTTATTTCGCTTATAAATATTTGATAGATCTCCACCTTATCATTATCTTCTACCTAAGCAACCGGTCTTTTAACCGGCTTTGTTAAAAATAAAAACTAGCACCTGACAATTGTTGATATTATATACCGAAACCAATTGCATACCAGGACCTTTAATATTCCGACGTGGACCTGGCTGATGGTTGTGCAGGTACTTCAGTGTGTCAGTTTTCCTAAAACTTTGCAACTCACCGTACGCTTCAATGCTTAAAAAGCATTTTTAGACAAAAAAAAGTTTATCGTTCATCCCTATATTTTTGTCACTTAACAAAACTCTAGTTGTGCGCAGCGTGTCAATCAATTTATCATTTGGCATAAAAACAGTGTAAAAGAAATCGTGAAATGAATACAGTGCAAAAGACTTACAGAAAGGGAATTGCCAAACCAATGGCAAGTGCAAAAATGGCAAGTTTCCAAAGTGTTCAAAACATAACGGCAAATGGACTACCCAGATCCCCTGTAATTTTGCACTGTTGAAGATAATCAAAAGAAGTAAAAGAAAACTTAAAGAGGACAAAAGAAGTAAAAGAAAACATAAAGAGGAAAGTTTTTAAAGAGTTGAAATTTCTGGTTATAGAGTTTTAATGGTTCATTTAAGTGACAAAACGGTTAATTTGATAAGACAACAATGGCTGTGAAATTCGGGAGAAGTGAGCACTCAACGACAAGTTGCCGTTTTGCTTGGAACTATCAACTTTTTCTGTTCTAATTTAAGAACCATTCAAAATTCTTGAAGAGGGATGTTATATTTAATGTTCATTGAATTAGTGAATATCTTTTACAAAAAATATACGTAAGGCTCATTGTTTCTGGAATCTAACTTTATTGAAAAGAAGTTGTCTGCTGAAGTCGGTTAGTAGATTTCTACCTATCAAATTTCGGTGGAAACAGATGTTATCAAAAACGAGAAGTCTGCTGGTACTTTAAATCTGCAACTGATCGAATTTTGAATAATTTAAAAAAAAAGATAAACTGCCAAAAAATTACTAATTTTACTGTTTAAGATTAACGTACAACAACCACCGTATAAGTCTGAAAAAGAAAAAAGAAAAGAAAAAACAAAATTTTACTAACCTCGCCTTAAATTGTATTTTTGACAACATCGAAAAATATTACTGAATAAAACTGCGGTGGCAGTTAATGAGTTGTTCACTAACTGCTGATACGAGTGAGTGACAGCAGAACTTTTGCTGTATTGACGACAACTAAAAACTCTGATGGCAAACGTTTTCCAAGCAAATTCCTTTCCAAACCCGGTAACCGCCTTAGAATAGAAGAACAATTTATTGTCTCTTCAAAATTACTTAAATTTGTATACTGGCATCAGAGTTTTCTTTGTAAACCGCATTACTTGCAGCAAAATGTGGTTCTAATACATTGTTTTTTCTTAATCTAGAGATTAGTTTTATTAAGTAGCTGTTACTGAAAATTAGAATTTAAACGATTAAGGTAAAATTTTTTTCTTTTTATGCAGGTAACAGTTTGAAAAACTGCTACAAAAAATTGTTGCTGTTTTCTGCTGAATATTATAACAGTTCCAAACGCTATATAAGAGTGATAAGGTGAAATATTTTTTTGCCTTGGTAAATACGTTAGTGAACTTACAAACAGCATTTAAATAAGCCAAAGCAGAATAAAAAAAAAAAAAGTACTATTTCGCATTTATTGAAGGTAAATCTATATAGAGTTAAAAAATATGCCGCGTCTACCACTTCTTTACCTTTAAGAATAGGCAACGCCTTTCGTTCGACGTATTTCTCTCAATTCTGTGAAAGGCAGAAAAAAGTCTGATGTCTGTTAATATTAATGAGAGAGGATTTAGATTTGTCCAAAATTTTAATGTTGTCTGGAACAACAAGCGAAAAAAACCTATTTATTCTTGCAAACTTAACTTGTAGCCATTTATTCTATGCTTGTATAGTGTTTGACAATTAGAAATTTTCTAGCTTAAAAAAACGTTGATCAGGAGAGTGTAATTTCGCACTGCTAATTGGTGCTTTCAGTTGTTGGCTGCGTTTCAAAAGTTGTATACCTGATAAATTATAAAAAGTGTCCACTCTTTTCAAAAAGAAAACCAGTATATAGCTTTGATTTGTTATGCTCGTAGTAAACGATATATTCATTTTGTATGAATAAATAGCAGTTCTAAAAAACAGATTTTTACAAAAGCAGAATTCTGAGAAATGTTTGAAGAATACAAAACATTTCTTTTTCAACAAAAAAAACAAAAAAATTTGTCTTATGTTTCCAATTAAAATTTACTCATTTATCTATCTTATAACAAACTTTAATCTTGCACCAAAAATTGTTAATTTGTTGTCTTTGTATAATTTACTTTAGTCTCAGCTTCATTTAAATACAATTTCCACTGGGTATTAATTAACAGCTGAAATTCTGTTCAATACAATTCCTTATTTCGAGCACTTTTTCTTTCGCAAAGTCTACTTGTAACATTTGTGGTTCAACATATATATTTTAGTTCTTTTTCAATATATATTTTGGTTTTTAATCCAGAAATTTGAATATTGTAATGCTTAATAAAACTTCAGTTTTAAGGGTACCTTGTAAATAAATAAATGACTTAACGTTTATTATAAAACTAAAAAATTCAAAAAACAGATGTTTTCTAAAGTAATTACTGTTCTTGTCATTAGCATATTTGGTAAGTAAATGCTTCAATACCTAATGAAGGTTTGATCTCTTTACATTTGTTTCAGTTAGCAATATAAAAGCTTTTTGTAATTTTGGTTTCATATATAAAAGTCGCTATGATAACGTGCTCTAAAAATAAAGATTTTTACACACAATTAAATTGTGGTTTATAGATCCAATCAAAATTTTATCAGAAGACGTTACTGCAACAGAACTGGCTGGAATTTCAGATCCATCATCAGAGTATACCTCTTTCACTGACCATTCCTTAAACTGGTTACGGAATTCCACATGAAGAACCTAAAACTATTTGCGAAAAATGCTAGATTCGAAAAAAATTTTTCAGTAAGATGCTAATATTTTGCTTATACTAGGTAATCTGAAAGATTCTTTTAAACTGAAACCTCCCAAAAATATAAAATTATTGTTTTTTCTACAGTTTAAGAAATTTTTGTTTTAAGACTTACTTGTGATGGTCCAACAAATCTTTCATCTCCCGAAAATAAGGTCTGTAGAAAAACTTTATAAGCTACTGGATGACATCCGATCCACAGCGAATTTTGCTTGTCCAAATACAGATTATCCGGACTTGTATAAAGCGGCACTTTTGAAATTTCCGTCAAGGAAATTTTTGACTCTTTATTCTGAATATTTTGTACTACTTTAAACAAAGAAGCCATAATCCAAAAAGTTTTTTTATGCGATACCCTAATAAGGCTGTAGACGGTGGTCGATCGTGCATTGGGAGATGATACGAAAAGATGCTTTTTTGATTTGTCTATTGCAATTCCATTTGGAGTCAGCAGGTTGTCTAGCACGATTTGAGACTTCTAAAGAAATCACTGTTGTTATTTTATTTCTTATTTTTTAAACCTAGGATTTATCCTTCATAAATAAGGAATAAGATATCCGCTGTGAGCTTAACGTAGAGTGTTGTCAAATTAATAATATCTTATTTCAAGGTGTGGCACTAATAACATTAAACTTTGTTCTCTCCTTCGTAACAGAAAAATTCCTTTTCAAAATTTTAATCTAGTTCACCTTTCCATTGTAGTAAACAATACTTCCACCCCGAAACATCAGAGACTGTTCGAAGAAAAAGGAGATTAAGGTTTGTGCGTTACCGTCGTTCGTAAGGAAAAATTCATTAAAACCCAGCACTTTCAAATCGTTCGGCATAAAAAAGTAAAGTTATATTCAAAAATTTGACGGAATAAGTTGCAAGATCAGCAGACTTGAACTGTTCAGGAACTACAAACTGTGCAGTTTGGAGGAAAAGCAAATTCTGAGCTGATGGTTAACGTTTTCAAAAAGCTACGTTTCCACTAACCTTCTAAAAGCCGAATCAGTAATAGTACGACGGTAGTTTAGAAGGTGTTCCTTCTGATCATATTCAAAAACAATAATAGAGTGTTCAAATTTTAGATTATGATTGATAACATATAACTCCAATCTGCCATGATCATAATATGAAGATATACCATGTGGACGAAATTCATCCTGCAAAACAGCCGATTTCTGCGCAAACTTAAGTGTTTTGTAAAACTGGTAGTCATAGATACATGCAAAAAAACTACAGCAAAGTATGCAAATTCCAACTCAAAACGGTGATTACTTTAGTGAAACTATATCGTTGAAAAATATTGGGGGGATTTATAAAAGAATTGTCCATTATTTGTGAATCCAAGACAAATGTTACTATCAAAAACACCACACGTAAACGTTCACAAACTCTGTGTTCAGAAATTTTCAAGGATACCATACGGTTCAACAGATACTTAATGTTGCATGTAGCCTCATACTTGATGACTGTCAGGTGGATTATAGGATCTTAGCCTATTAACATATGATAAAAACAGAAATTGATGGCGAAAAGTAAGTGCAGTAAAAGTTTGAACAATGATTTACAAATTGTGCCAACCACAAAGAAACACGGGCATGCTCTGAGGGATTACTCTCAAACACTCCATAAACTTTGAAATTTTTGGATTAGTCGCTTCAACTGCATTGTCTTTAAAACCACGTTTTTTTTTACCTTAAACCTAAGATGGTTTTAAGATGATAGTTATGGTATTTTTTATAAAATTTGTCTTGATTGGAGATGATGATTATTCAACGAAATAGTCACGTCTTATTCGCAGTACATAAGAGTATACATACCCTATTAAAGGTGCCCGCGATTTTTAGTTCTTCGGCTTTTAAATTTTCAAATGGCACGTTGAGATCAATTAAAAAAATTTTCCCACGAATTCCTGAGGCGCGATCTTTAAAGTAGTGGATTCCAGATGAGACGAAAGCAATATCAAGACTTTCAACAACTTCTATGTCCTCGGCTCCATATTCTAAAAATTGACTTATCCCACTCAGTATATAAAAAAACGCTTACGCGAGGAAAAGTGAGCAGTTAATGTGATCAAAAAGAACATTCCATTTTCTAAGTGAGCGGCAGTAGATTCAGAAGCGCATTATAACAGTGCTGCTTCAAAAACCTTCACTGCCTTCAGTATAACCACAGAAAGTACTTGGACTCCTATCTGAAGCGTTAACAGTATTCTTGCATACCGCAAAACATGAAATCTTGAATTAATGATGAATTAATGATTCCTTTGGTTTGCTATTTTTTAAACATTCAGTTCCCTAGGAAATGATTTATATGCTACATACTTTTTTAGAGCAGCTTTCAATCCTGCTTTTGCCCAATAGAAACTTGAAAATCAGCAGTAAACCCTAACGTACCCTTATAGTTCAAGTCAATGTTTACTTGCTCTTCCCAACAAATTGTTATGAAATCAGTTGTATTTTAGTCAGCACTTAAATCAGAGTTTGTAACCGAGTTTGAATGTATCTTACGTCGTGCATATTGGAAATGTGTTTAATGATCTACTGAAGACAAAGTTACCTCTCAGGTGACCCATCTAATATTGCATTAGGTTTTTAAGTTTCCTTAACCCAATAAATATATCCGGTTTAGAGTGCTCTAGACTTTGGTTACTGCTCGTTGACGATAGCTGAAGAAAGAAACTGTCAGCTGTCGCTATTCATTTGCCTTACAAATTTTTCCCCAGAAAAATTTTGAATAAGTTGATATCTAGTCGAAATAAGTGGCAAAAATCGTTTTGTTTTTGTTGTAGAACTGAGCAGAGATATAAACACGATGTACGAAGTCAAAAAATGATTGCATACCTGGGCCGCTGACACTTCGGCAGGGACCTGGTTGATGCTTGTGAAGGTGCTTCAAAAGTTCCGCACTTTTTCTAAATATTCCAGCTTAAAACTTTTTAAACAGTTTCCTCGACGCTTAAAACTTTTGAAAGAGATTCCTCAACAAGGTTTTTGAATGAAATAGTTTTCTTGTATTTTTGCGCTCCTTCTTGTTACTTAACGCAACTGCAGTGGCCTAGCGTATTACAACAACAGCGCATCAATTAGTTTATAGCCTAACACAAAAATGTGTTCGAAATGTGAGATGATTTCAATATAATAAACTTACAGAAGATGAATTACCAAACCAACGATAAGTGCAAGAATGGCAAGATTCCAAAGCGCCCGAAACATTTCGGTAGAATGGGTTATCTAAACAAGACCTCTGAAATTTGCACTGTCAAAGAGGGTTACATAGGAAGAAGTTTTATAAGGTTCAAAGTTTTAAACCATGGATTAGCATAAAGTTGATGTTAATTGTTGTAGGAAGTAAAAAAAATTGCTTATTTAGTAAGAAGACAATAGTTTTTAAAACCGAGGTGTAAACACTTAGCGACAGCGACAAATCATCGATTTTTGTAGAAACATTCACTTTTTTGTGCCATTTATGCAACTCCTCAAACTTTTTGAAAAGACGAAATGTTGTGTATTAAATGATTTTATCTCAGATGATTTAAACAAGGCTTATTGTCTTTTGGATTTCACTTTAGTTACACATGTGATGCCTAGTAAAGTCAGTCAACAAATTCCTGCCTATCAGGTGTCGATAAAAACAGTAGTTTAGATATTGAAAAATGTACCAGTTTATTATAATTTAACAGCAAACTGCATTTACAAAATTCAAAAGAATTGAAAGTAATGGATACCAAAATAAATAATTATTCATATTATTCTAATAATTTATGACATTTATTGTATAAATTAAGAAGGAAGAAAAGCTTTGTCGTACATGATTTAGCTGATAATACTAACAAAAAAAAGTTGAGAAATGAAACTTTAGTGACAGTTGGTGCGTTGTTCACCGATAATTGAGACAAATGAGTGGCAGCACAATTTTGTTGTACATACGACGATAACTGAAAATTGTTAATGGTAAACGTTTCCCAAGCAAATTCCTCTTCAAATGCGGTAACCGCCTCAAAACACATAAACAGTTAACGGCCCCTCCAATGTTACGTGTATTCATGTAAAAACATCAATTTTTTCTATATCAAGTATTTTATTAGAAGTAATATTTGACTGTTACACATCGTCTTTTTTTTTTTTTTTATAAGTTTTTGGTAATTAGTTTCACTCAGTATTTGCTATTAGAAACGGAAATTAAATAAACTACTTTAAAATCTACCGCTCTTTGTACAACTAAAACTCCAAAAGTTATTGTAAGAATTTAATGCAGTTTTGCCACTAAATTTTTTAGCAACTAAAACTTATCTTTTAGAATCTTTTGGATCGAAATTTAGAGGATTATTAGCAAGTTTCTGTATTAAAGCACAGTAGCTAGTAATTTGAACTTTATTCAATGTTGGTGAGTTCACTGCAGTTCAGTCAAACAAATCAATAGGTTGACCCTTGACAGCAATTACGCAGTAATAAACGTTTTGTATCAATTTCTTTGCTATTAGACATTAAAGTTCGCCCAGCAGTTTTTCAGTCGATCGAAAGAAGGAAAAAATTAAGAACTTGATTCCAAACCTAGTTCTGGTTAACATCAGTTTTCACAACAACATCTAAACCATTTATTGCTAAAACACTTAGGTAGCTTTTCAACAGTTTTTAGTTACTTTAATTATTCTTATTTTAGATAAAAATATTTGTTAAAGAATGAATGCATTATAGTCAGATGATAAAAATCTTCAAATTTTGGCGAAGACAACGCATAATTAATCGCTGCAACAAAATCAGTCAATATTTTCTTTTTGAATTAGTGGAAACTTGAAATGCTTAAAAATCTGATTTACAGACTTTCAATTATTCTATTTTACTTTGTCAACATCAGTTGCTAACTTAATATGAATAAGAAAAAAGAAACACTGTTCCAGTAATTCCCCTGTTCATAGCCAATTTTTGAAAGAAGCCGACAAAGCATAGCATGTGCTCGTTCACGCTACTATATTGACAAATTCGTCACCTGATGAAAGGTTTCGCTTAACGAACAAAGAAAACCGTTAATTCGTTTACGCTGTTTATTATTTTTAACCAAAAGTTCCACTAAATAGGGTCAACACATTTTTAAAAGTGTCAACTTTTCCCTTTTGCATAACCGCTGTTGAACCGTTTCCACAGTTGCTTCAGCTACAAACTTACAGTTAATAACTAAAGAATACAAGGTTATTGACGTTATCAGATACAAAAACAAATGAAGATTAACAGCAAAAAAAAACAGTTATAATACTCGTACGAGCACTAACCGATTTACAAAGAAAAGTGCTTTCTGAGGAAAAACCGTAAAGATCAAAACTGCCTAACAAGTCTCTTCTTAAATTCTAGTTGCTGCTGGTATTAACTGGTATGGTTAGTAACTGGTATGGTCAGCCCTATTTTTTATATTTGATTAACATTAACCAGAATTTAAAGCATAAAAGTTAATTAGACTCAAAGTTCACTGCGAATAGCCATAGTTTCATCAAAACAACTTGTTTGCTATTTGTTTATCGAATAAAATCATCTTTTTTTTTCAGCAACCTCTGAGACTGTAGTCATTGCTAACGAACATTAGTCTTCTTAAGTTAGTGCTTTGCTAGTGTTTGGTTTTAATTTTACCAAATAATTTCTCGTATATGTATTTTCCGAAATTTTAACTTACTCTTCTATTCACTCAACTGTTTTAATTGTCTGTTTCAATTTTGCTTTTTAACTCTCCAAGTCTCAAATGCAATTTCATGAAGTTTATTGGAAATATATTGTTTTATCGTCATTCTTTGCTGCAAGTAAGGAATCATAAAGTCGGTAGTGCTTAATTGTACAGTAGATAATGCTTTGATTGTTGTAGGTTTTCATTTTTTTTTAATTGTCGGAAACGCACTTAAAGCGAATCCAGAGGTTTTTATTGCCCTTGTAGAGCATCAAAAAGCTAATTTTTTCTAACTGGAAAAAGCTTTTAGAGACTGCAGCAAGGAATCTAGTAGCAGTAGAAAGCAGATGTTGAACTTAAAAAATTATGAAGTTCCGTGGATTACCCTTTGTTCGCTTTTTCTGTTTATATCACGAGCATCAGGAAAAACATATACCGATCTGAGTTTGTATAAGCAGGTATTAATCTTTCTAAGTGAAAGAACATAAAACTGAAAATAACTTTGTTTATTTGACCAGAAAAAAGGAATAATTACCGTTCAAAAAAATTATTGGTTTATATTAGATTTGCTCTGTAATAAGAACAGTTTTTTTTTTTGTAAAATATGACGCTGCAAGTTGACTGCTAACATTCATTAAATTTGTGTTAAGGAAACTTCTGTTGATAATAAGACTTATGGTCGTACCGAAGAAGTATTGCTGAAGCGTTTAAAACGTATGGCATTTAGAGATCGAAATTATCCTTTATCGATATGGACTGAAGGAGTTCCGTTTAAAATACGTTCAGATTTGTGTAAGCTCAATTAAAATTAATAAAACAGTGTTGAACTATCATTTCGGTGTAAATCATCAGCAAGACACTCTTAACACGATTATCGTTAAAAAAACTGCTAATGCAAATGGTCAAAACTACGTATTTCAGATAGACGTTATAAAGAAGAACGCTTTGGACTTAAGCATTAATGTTTTTTATTTGCGAGAAACGAAATTTTATAAAATCTGATGTCATTTTTAATGCGACAACTATGCAGACTTTTTTTTTCACATTTCACTATGTAGAAAGACATGTTTCAAAGAGCTTTTACAATAAAAGCTGCCTTAACATTACGTCGCGATAGACAGTATGACTTCATAAAGCACGCTCTTTTCTCCGTTTATTCTTAAGATCTACACTTGTTAAAAATGCTTAGCGTAGTTTTTTTGAGCACACACTTCATATGTTCCATGAGTGTTTTTTCGTTGTTCATATCAGACATCGGTTTACTCGCTTCTCAAATTTAAACCTATTTTTGATTTCAAATTAACGATTAACAGCTTAGAAAAATAAAGCAGGAAATTGTTATTTGCCATCAATAGAAACACGATATTTTCAAATACGGGCATTCTCTGCAGTAATACGACGAAAGTTCACTGTATAATATATTTTACTAGATCAAAAGTTCTGCAATCCTTATAAGTGTTACTTTAGGCAATAATTAGAGTACAAAACAGAAACTAAGAAGCTAAACAAAACCTCAGATTCTAAGATCGCAACCACTAATTGATGATTTAAATCAAAGCTGGTCAAAAAATTTTCTTCAAACTGGTTAGTAAAATTTTCGTTACTGTATCAGCTATAAAACAGGATCAGTTACTGCTGTCCAATAAGTTAGTGCATGAAGTTGAAGAGGTTCAGATTTTACTGGTTACTTTGGTCAGTTGTATTGCAGCACCACACGCTGTCGAAATAATCTTGAGAGCCACGAAGTTCTGGCACGACAATACATGTATAGACTTCAAATACAATGGTAGCGGAAAAAATAACATCGAATTCATTCGGGTGAGCTCCTTACAACAACGCTAATCTTTCAGCTATATCAAACCAACTTACTCAGTCTCATTTATATAAAATTTATGTGCGAATTTACATCTGCATAATACATCTTTTCTGTCAGCTTTACTAGCTTGTAAATCAACTTATCAAACTAAGTTAAATGCTTAAAAAATCCTGTTTTTTCTAGGGTCAAGGTTGCTACAGCAGTATAGGACGAGTGTGGTTTAAGAGAAAGCAAGTGTTATCGGTTGCTAAAGAATGTGAACATGTAAGCGGCTTTCCAGCCTGATTCCTTTGTGTACAAATATCCATTTTATAATCCGAGTATTGAAAAAGCTAACTTTTTGGATGGTTTATATTCCCGAATTTACAATTCCAGCTTCTGTTAACACTGTGTGACGCTTCATAAAAAAAACATGTTGGCAAAAGCAATTTTAAAAAATGCTACCCCAAACAGTTATAGGCTATGCTAAAACCATTGTCTTTCAGTTCCATACAATAACACACGAACTAGCACATGCTTTGGGCCTGTTTCATACTCACTGTAGGCCAGACCGACATTACTATGTTAACATTTATACCAACCGTATTTTGGTAAGAATATCTTCACTTCCTATTGCTACTCGTTTCATTCAACCAAAGAAAGATTTTTTCTGTCTTCCTCAGACGTATAAAAAACGTCATATATTTTCTGCCACAAAAAGATTTTATGCCCAGTTTTTTTTACAGAAGACTCAGCAAGAAAACTTCAAGGCCGAAAGTTCGCTAGTTTCTACCAGTTACGATTTGCCTTATGAATATGGTAGCGTTATGCATTATCGCAAAAATGAGTAAGCAGATTACCATCTTCAATCTAGCTACGCAAAAAAAACACGGCACTCAGAAAATCCCTAAATAACGAATTTTTTTAAACATAAACATCCATAATTCTCGCTGAATTTCCACTCAACAGTGTCATAACTGAACAACCTGTTCCCCTTACTGTTTCTTCCTTCGTGAGGAGAAGACTGAAATAATCTAAAAGACTCACTTATAGGTTTTCTACAGATAGTCAAGCAACATTACTGCCTAAAGACCCATTGCACGAAAATACGATGGGTAGTGGAACAGGACCAACATTTCTAGATGTCCTTCTCGTTAATACACACTATAACTGCCAAGGTACACTCTGAATCGATTTTCCTTCCAATGTCAGCGAACACCTGTGAAAATAATGACCGTGATAAAAAAAACTTGAACTACAATAGTTTGTGCAGCAATTCCGCTGTTCGTCTGTACGTGAAACAAGTTTTGAAGTTCGTTTTCCACAATGTATTCCTTTACTTTTTCTAGATCGTTGTAAAGACTATAAAACAGAATGCCAAAATGGCGGTTACCCACATCCTCGAGACTGCAGCAAGTGCATATGTCCATCAGGTTTTGCGGGGACTTATTGTGATGAGAGGGTAAGCTGTCTGTTAAAACTCAAATGTTTTGAAAAGTACATTTTAAATTAAATACAGAAAACTGTAACTTTTACGAGATATTAGACAAAGACCTTTTTCCTTCTAAATGAATTGACGTTTACTGTTCAAAGTGCTTTGAGCTAATTTTGTTGAGATGACCTCACCAATGTGTGGCGGAGAAGTCGTAGCCGATACAAAACCAGATGTAATAGGTTCGACGATAAGAACAGATGGCATACAAGATGATATGTATTTCTGCTACTGGTGGATCATTGTAAGTTAATACAAACCGGGTTTTAATTTGCAGTAAGAATTAAATCCACTTTGCATTTCCCTAATACTTTGCTGTACTGGAAAAGTTGTTCTTTCAAGCAGACCCGCTTGAGGATGATAAATGCTTCGTCA